AATAATAATAATAATAATAATAATAATAATAATAATAATAATAATAATAATAATAATAATAATAATAATAATAATAATAATAATAATAATAATAATAATAATAATAATAATAATAATAATAATAATAATAATAATAATAATAATAATAATAATAATAATAATAATAATAATAATAATAATAATAATAATAATAATAATAATAATAATAATAATAATAATAATAATAATAATAATAATAATGATAATAATAATAATAAATAATAAATTTGTTGGCTTTAATTTAACAATCCAAATATTCTAATCACATAATAATTAATATTTTAGGTATTAATAACCTGTGAGAATGATTTAACAGGAAGTGTTCGTTGTATATGTTGCCATATCATTGGTTTATGAGTTGATTTATCAATATTAGCCATTGTTGGTAGAAACATTGCACAGAATGGATCTTCACCATCATCTTTTTCCAATAGATGCATTAGCATTGCTAATGTATCCGTTGAATCCATATCTTTTCCTTTATTATTATTATAAATGAATTATTTAATTTATTAATTATTAATTAAAAATTTTTAAACATTATTTCAAAAAATAATTTATAGTTAGCACCTTTTTTTTTTAAAAAAAATTATATTATTTATAATTATTTGATTATACATACATATTTAATTAATAAATTGTTCAAAAAAAAAAAACAAAAATTTTCATCAAAATGTTTTTGTATTATTTATGAGCAATATTGTTAAGTATTGATAAGTTACATTAATTAATTGATAATATGTTTATCATTAATTTGATAAAAATAAACAAATAGCATATCATACTTTTATGATGAGGTAATGGTGAAATGCTACTTTTTTATTGTTAAGTATTGATAAGTTCGATTGATTGATAATATGCTTATCAATAATTTGATGAAAATAAACAAAAAAACATATCATACTTTTATGATGAGGTAACGGTGAAATGCTACTTTTTCGAGTTGAAAATCTTGGAGCAGTAATTAATCCACGACGATCTAATAATGACATTGAACGAGTACCATGACGAACATTATGATGATGACCATGTTTATGTGCTGAATTTATTTTTCGTCGATTATGTTGAAAATTTAAGAAACCATCCGTCATCCCATGATCTGATATAAAGCTATCCATATGATCTAAATTAAATATCAATTTAATAAATATCAATAATTAGTATACAAAATATTTCCCCTACAATATTACTTAATAAATTATGCTATTTAAATTATTATTAAATATGTATTTCGTCTTTTTAATGATAATATTGGTTTGTTTAATTTATGAAATAATATTTCTAATGTAATAAATTTATTTCTATATTATCTTAATTTTAGGTATAAGTTTTATTTAATGATAAATTTTGTTGATTATATTAAATCAATCATTTGAATAATGATTTTTTTTTAAATATCAATTTAATAAATATTAAATATCAATTTAATAAATATCAATAATTAGTTTTTATGTTTCATTTCAATTACCTATTGAACAATTTTAGGATTTAATATGGAAAGAAAAAAAAACAAAACAAAAAGAAAAATGAAACAACGAACAGATAATGATCTATTTCAGATCTATTTCTGTGATCTATTTCAGGTGATCTATTTCAGGATTAGTATTTATTAATGCTTAAACAAATAGGATAGATTAATTAATATATATTCTAATTTGAAAAAAAAAAAAAAACAAAACAACATATATATCTGTAAAATAGATGAAGGGAGAGAGGAAGAGAGAGAGGAAGAGAGAGAGAGAGAGAGAGAGAGAGAGAGAGAGAG